CCGCAGCTCGGCGGCCCGCGCTCACAGCGCCATGGCTGGCGCAGCTCCCCCCGCGCCGCTCGCCGCCGCTCGCCCGGCCGCCGCTCTCCCCGACGGCAGCAGCGACCCTCATCGTCCGCGCGGCAGCGGGCGGCTCCGGGCCCGGCTGGCCGCGCGGGGACGGCGGCGGGAGGAGCGACAGGAGAAGGAGGAGGAGGAAGGAGAGGGGGGAGCTGGTGCTGCTGCTCCGTGCGGAGCTCAGGACGCTCCGCGGTGCCGCCCGGCGGGGCGAGGAGGAGCCGCGCGGCGCCCTCCCGCCCGCCCGCATCCCCCGGGCCGAGCCGAGCCGGGCCGGGCCGAGCGGGGGAGAGGGCCGGGAGGGGCTGGGGAAGCCCCCCCGGCCGCCCACGCGGCGCAGGGCGGCTGCCAGGGCGGCGGGAGCCCCGCGGCGGCCGGGCCGGGCCCGCTTGCAGCTGCTCCCTCCTCTACGCAATCCTACGTGATCGCGGTGTGGATGAGAGGCACCGCGCGCAGAGCGGCCACTGCGGCTCCGCGGCCGCGCCGCAGGTGCCCGCGCAGGGRCCGCGAGCGGCGGGGCCGCTGCCCGCGCCCGGCGGCTCCGCGGGGGGGTCCCGCCGGGCCCCTGCACCAGAGCCCCCCGCGCAGGGCAGCCCTGGCAGCGCGGACCCCGCCTGCATCACCCAGCTGCACAAGGCGCCCAGGGACAGCTGAGCTCAGGAAGGGCAGCCCTGGATCTCCACATAAGCAGCTGCTGCTTCTAGGGCAGAACGAGGACCGCGTTTTCCACATTTTGGGTTCACAGAGACTAATAAGCACACATGCAGAACGGGAGGAGATGTGACAGGGTGCCCAGACAAAGGCAGGACTGGAGTGAACACAGTCTTGGTGAATACATGTACCCTGTATGCATCCTTCAAGGGGATATCTTATATCCAGTAGATTCCCCAAGCAGCTCGGGGAATCACCAACTTCAGCAAAACAATGTGCCTGTCTCCTTAGCAGCAAGACCTTTCCCTCAACCAAAATACTTTAGCTCTAAACCACTATAAGGCATATATATATATATATAAAGCAACTAAAATACCCACCTATTATGACCATACAGATTAACTGAACTCTGGCTTTACTCCCTGATTTGCACTGTTAATCCCACGCCTGCCAAAAGAAGGTGGGATCAGATTTGACAGGAGAGCAGGGGAGGAGGATATTCACATCATTTGAGAGAGACAAGTGTTTGGCTGTTGATCTGTTTTTTACTGCTGCCAACTTTGCTGAGCAGATTTAAGTGTCCCAATCAATACAGATTTTTCTTGCCTTTCCTGTAACTAAAACGCTTCGTATTTTAATTTTCTCTGCCGGATTATTTCACTTGACTTCAAAGACTGTCGCAACGCAAGGTACCAGCATGGCCTGAAGAAAGCTGTTTGCAATCAGAAAACAGTTGCCTGCATTGCCAGTGAATTATCCAAAGCTTCATCTTCAAAGGATGTGAGCAAATCTGATATCTTCCCCAGAAAGAGGTTTTCCATCTCTATATAAAGATATTTCCTGCCTGTAGCCTTCAAATCTCTGTTAAAAGAAGGCTGGTTTATCCCCCCTCCCCTTTCAGATAAGCTTCACATATTTTGACATGTGATGCCTTTGTTTTCTCGCGTAGCTGCCAACTACGAGCAGCAGCCCTGCACTTAGAAATGATCCTCATCAGAGATAAAGTTGCTAACAGGTTTTTCTGGGGATTTATCCATCTGGGAAAAGACTCCCTGCACCTCAGAGAAGTGGTTCTCGCAAGTCTCTGCAGGGATGAAATCAAACTAAAGCTGGGCTTCGAAAACTGAGCGTAACTCTGCATTTCCTAACCCCCAGGTCTGTGTCTTTATTTGTGTGTGGCCAACTAGTCACGGGATTTGGTTTGGAAACAGGGCACAGAGCCACCAATTTCCATGACACTGCAGGYACCTGCTCCGTACCTGCACAAACACCAAATTTACAGGATAGACCACGCATTCAAGAGCGCCCTGCAAGCCCATAGCAGGTTTTAGGGAAGCTAGAGCCAGATCAGCCCTAGCTAAGCTAGTTTAAGACCAGTCTCGCCCTTCTCCTGCACTGCCATTCTTGCAGTTGGACCATGCTATCTTATATGGACTGCCAAGGGCAGCAGAAAAGCCTTCACGTCCTCTGGATTCTTCCCACAGAAGAGTATTTCTCAATGTTGATTTGTGGAAACACGGTTGAAAATGTCTCCGTTTTCATCATTTTCACCCTTATCAGCTGCTGCTCTCCGAGGGAGGTGCAGCACATGCTTCTCTTTCCAAATGGCCTCTACTGAACTGAGGGGCTGAGTTGCTTCCAGCCTCCAAAGGATTGTTTTTAACTAAATTGGTCCATTTTGACCATTTTTGCTTCCCTTAAGGCACATATTTATTTATTCTCCCCTCCTTTTCCCTTGAGCTCCCTCTTCATCTCCTCATTGTAGAAATCTGCATGGCACGCACTTTGAAGAGGGGAGGAGGGAACAGCGACCGATTCATAAAATGAGCCAGAAAGAAGGTTTTGATCATTCTGGAGAGAGATTCCAGCACTCTGCTGCAGCATGGGGATATGAAAGGGCCCCCATGAGCAGGCAGAGGGGCAGGCCCCCCAYGGCCGCTGCAGAGTCAGCCTCACAGGGCTCATTAACCACCAGCTACTCCCCTACACGGTAGCCTCTCGATATGGAGAGAGACCAACATAAACATTTCCAGAGGTTACTATTTATGAGGTTTTGTTCATTTGATAAATAARCTCTTCTGTCCTCAATGCTGAGGTTTAGAATTAAGGCCTGGCTCAATTTCAGGGCTTTGGTGGTTTGAACAGAGAAGAGATGTAGCATTGCATTCCCTTACCTTCCTAAACAGAACCATCTATCTAGGTCAAAACGGAGGTTATTGGCATCTTTCCTTAGCAAAGTGCAATAATTCCCGCAGGGTAGCTAACAGAATATCCTGTTTATTTTTCATAGAGGCTTCAGAAGCCATAGGCTAYGTTCCGTAGATTCCCTCATTAGGCTCTCTCTATTTCACTAATTCTGTACACGTCGAGCCAACAACAGAAGCGTAAGCATTTTTTTTCATATCTGCATAGCTCCTAAAACTGAATGCATGAAAGTTAAGTGATTTAAATTTAATACCCCTTTAAAAAATTTAGGCACATTTCTGTAGTTGAATGGGGGAAAAAGAAAAACACCCATCTCTGTCCAATAATTATGAATGGCCTAATTTACCATCTTAGAGCAGCATAGCAACAAATCTCTTCCAATAGGAAGGCACCACTGAGTTTGAAAGTCTGCATCCAGCCTCCTCTAAAGAACTGCATCTAATTTCCACGCTGCAAATTACATCTAAAATATGTGTATTGTCAGGTCTGCTTATTAAACAGAAATTAAGCCCGTATCCATGTTTTATTAACTTTTTCTTTACAAGGTAGCCCCTTGTCGCACGTCTAGCATAATTAAAATTCAGGCAGATTTGGCATTCCCCAGTCTCTTTGCGTGGGTGGACTTCTTAAAACACACGTCTGTGTAACCTGATAAAGAAAAGACCTTACGGTATTCCGCTTGTTTTATGTGCAAGGTAATTCTGTTTACAACGCATGGCTTTATATCTGTGTTTGGCTGCCTAATAAGAATTCACATGGCCACTTCAAAATCTGCTGTTCTGGGAGAGAGATCTGGCCCTAAAACACCATCAGAGTAGAAAACTGGCTGGCTTTCTGGTCCTTTCTCGCACAGCTGAGCTCCGAGCTGACTAGGCCCTTTTAATAAATACAGAAGAGCCTGCATCATCTGATTGCTMTATTAAAATAATTTATTTAATGGGCCCCTCACCCTCCTTTCTTGCTTCAAAGATTCAATTAAAACCAAATTTGCAGCTCATCACAGGGGCATTCATTACCCCACTCAGTGTCTTTAAAAACAAGTCAAGCCTAGGGAGGGCTTGGTGCAGAAGCTGGGCTTATTTGTGCCTTCAGACAAGTGGCAGGTAAACAGCTACACAGTTTGCAGCAGGAAACTACTGTTAGAAGAGGAGGCCACAAGGAGCATCAACACAAACCAACAGAGCTCAGAAGAACAAATGAATTCAGCTGAGGTTTTGTATGTACGTAATGTGCATATTCGTCCATTTAAGAGAAGGTTTCTGCTTTTAGTTGTCCTTGATTACTTGTTACCTACATCAAGCAGAGGCAGGAGGACACAGACGTGCTTCTTCTCTGAAGGCAACCATGGCTGTCTAGGGATAAATATCAGCATGAACCTTTCCTCAGGAACTTCACACATGGCTGACTATATCTGGTCTCCTAGTTTTGGAAG